GCTGAAGTCAAAAAGATGTCAAGCGGTAAAAGAGGAAGACCGCCTAAAAAGCGATCATTGGAAACAAGGTATACATTTTCCCTTTAAAGATTATTTTTTAATCTCTGTCCAAGAAAACTTAGGGCTACAATCAGTAACTTAGGGTCATAATATGCACTTTTTTTTCTCAATGTATATTTTTACTAGCAGCCGATTTATTTTTGATTTTGAGGCGATCAACGAAACAAAGTTCCACGGACCCAGGGAGCCTTGAACAATGGAACTCTGAAGAAAAACGATTCGCAGTCGGAGAAGTCCGATTCAGGATGATGCCTCCAAAGCTCAGCTCAAAGGCACGAATGAAAGCGGGTACATTTCTCTACCCCTGCTTCAGCTAGTTCTTTTTATGTATTCAAATGTAAACACCTTGCAGTGAAGTGGAATAATCTCAAATTGTTCAAATTAGGTTTTTTTCAGGCAAATCATCACGGAAAAGCGCCAACGTGGAAGACCACGAAAGTCAGATAAATCTGACCCGAGAAAGTGGTAAGTTAAATTTCTATCAGATTGACCCTTTCTTTTTCACTTCTTCTTTTTTTTTCTTTTTGTGGGTATAAGTTTGCTATGTAAAAATACTCTAATTGAAATGAACTTTTAAAGGAACGATGTGAGTTCGCCGCAAACAGGCCGCTACACTGTCCCTTTGCCTGTTCCTGATAGCTGGCCATTGGTGTGCAATAGAGTAAGTGAACTGACTCATCCTTAGAGATCGATATCACTAATTTCAAAACGAGACTTGTAATTTTCAGGAAGAAATCATGAAAGAGCTCTCTGAAATGTATACAAATGTGAAAGATGAGAAGCTTGGCGAGTTTCATAATCAAATCAAGGCCTTTGTGTCGCTTGCATTGGGTAAGTATTAGTAGTCTGTGCCACTGAAAGAGGTTCTTTCAAGGTACCGAGGAACTAAATTCACTTGGAACGCGATGTTATGGAGAATAATTCAATTCAAGGCGGTTACAAGCGCCTAAAGGGCGATGCCTGATTACTTAAGGCATAGAGTTAGAGTCCGCAGTTGGAAAGCTCTGCCGGCAATGCAAGCCGTTGTCGGTCAAACGTCGAAAAGGCGTGCCAAGAAGAGGCCTGAGCTTGTGCTCTTTTATGTTGCTGTGATCTCCGCCCACCATCCCACATTCGGCCTCTCCTCTTCATCTTTGCCTCTTCGCTAGGACAGTGTTTGGTAGGCTTAGCTTAGGCCAGTGAGCCTTCTTTCGAGGTGGTTCCGGATGTGCTGTCCATATATCTGGAATCACCAAGGATATAAAGGCTACGGCCTCAGTAAAACTCGTTGAACACTCAGCGAGAGGGCCAAAATCAGCGCGTATGGCGTATCAGGTTTTGGGCAGAGACATCAGCAACATCAACCACCACCCTCTTACTACGCGCTTTCAAGTGGCGAAGGCGATACAGTCGCCTTCGTAGCATAATGTGGGGGTGTTCCTGCGTAAGTACGTTTTGGCGTGATGCCAGCTCGTAGCCATTGATGGAATATAGGCTGACGCCGTTCTAAAATTTTTCGTGGCAAGCAACACCGCCGCGACATTGCTTATGATTTTCTGCATTTTTGCTGCGGCGTGAGGCTTTTGTCCACGTGACGTAGAAGAGCTCACTCCCTCCAGGTAGGGTATCAACCATTTCGCGTTCCCCTTACCGAATGCAAAGTATTCAGTGACAGGGGGGTGGGGGTTTAGCCGATGCACAAGCCAGTGTTCTTGTCCTTTCAAACAAATCTAACACAAATTTATCGTCCCGAAAGACAAAAGCCCCGGTTGGCCTCCTGGACAAAGCCAAGCGGAGCCGGGAATATGATCCCCGGACCGCGCGAGTAGTAAGCGTTCCACCTGTCATTACATCACCTTTGCCAACTCATAAATAACCCTCATTTCATCTGCCCTTCAAATACCCTTTGATATTACCTGGGGAGTGAGCTCTTCCCTACGTCACGTGGACAAAGCCTCAGCCGCAGAAAAATGCAGAACTCATAGCAATGTCGGGCGGTGCCCTTGCGCACAAAAATTTTAGAACGGCGTCAGCCTATTCCCATCAATGGCTACGAGCTGGCATCACGCCAAAACGTACTTACGCAGGAACACCCCCACATTATGCTACGAAGGCGACTGTATCGCCTTCGCCACTTGAAAGCGCGTAGTAAGAGGGCTGGAGGTTTGATGTTGCTGATGTCTCCGCCCAAAACCTGATACGCCATACGCGCTGATTTTGGCCCTCTCGCTGAGTGTTCAACGAGTTTTACTGAGGCCGGAAAGGCTTATTCCTTGGTGATTCCAGATATATGGACAGCACATCCGGAATCACCTCGAAAGAAGGCTCACTGGCCTAAGCTAAGCCTACCAAACACTGTCCTAGCGAAAGGCAAAGATGAAGAGGAGAGGCCGAATGTGGGATGGTGGGCGGAGATCACAGCAACATAAAAGAGCCACAAGACTCAGGCCTCTTTGGCACGCCTTTTCGAGTGACGAAAACGGTGCATTTGCGGCAGAGCTTTCCAACTGGGACTCTAACTCCTATCCTTAAGTAATCAGGCATCGCCCTTTAGGCGCTTGTAACCGCCTTGAATTGAATGATTCTCCATAACATCGCGTTCCAAGTGAATTTAGTTCCTCGGTACCTTGAAAAAACCTTTTCAGTGGCACAGACTACTAATACTTACCCAATGCAAAGCGAACACAAAGGCCTTGATTTGATTATGAAACTCGCCAAGCTTCTCATCTTTCACATTTGTATACATTTCAGAGAGCTCTTTCATGATTTCTTCCTGAAAATTACAAGTCTCGTTCTGAAATTAGTGATATCGATCTCTAAGGATGAGTCAGTTCACTTACTCTATTGCACACCAACGGCCAGCTATCAGGAACAGGCAAAGGGACAGTGTAGCGGCCTGTTTGCGGCGAACTCACATCGTTCCTT